GGAGCCGGCTCTGAGCGACTCGGCGGCTGCGCGGACGCGGCCCGGAGCACGTTCTGGCTGCAAAAATCAAGTCCAGATGCCAAAATCTCTCTAGGCAAGGTTAAAGGATGCTGAGCGGTAGAAACTGGCTGTGATCCATGTGTGATGATAATAAAGAACAACAGAATAGATTTTAGTGCTTTTTCAAAGGTCTCCCAGGAAATTGTCTATTTAAACACAAGTAAAATAAATGAAAAATGGTGTATGCCTTTTTCATTTCCATGTAGAAGCTAAAATAGATGTTGGGTGCCACAGTTAAGTAAAGAGGCAACCTTCCAAAATTGGGCCATAAAACCCAAGGCTCTCCCTCCCCACTTCTCCCCCGTTGTGTATCTAGGTCATCTCGGCTCTCTGATCTCGTATAACCACTGGAAACAGCATAAGAAAATAGCGAAGCATAAAATATCTTCTGCAGCACTGAAGGTGTTATTCTTATAAACAAGTAAAGTACTTGGGAATCAATAAGAACTTTTACTCATAGCCGCTAGAGAGAATTCATTTCTTGAATTATGTGATGGGATAAACGAGATCCCAATCTGGCTGCCACCTTGCGTATCAGCAGCTATCTGTTCCCAAGCGGGCTGAAAATCTCATGGAATTAATTACAATAATCAATCCTAGAAATGACAAAAGTATTGATTAGTATTTTTGTCTCTCTGCAGTCTGGCAGCGCTGTGACTCTGGGAGTATTACAAAAGTGATAAAGAGCAGCTCCAGCTATGGCTGGAAGATGTTTATCCAGTGATGCTGCGCGACAGAGCAACGTCGAGGGGTTTTATATGCAAAGATGACATCACCCAAACGCTTTTGTATTTTATTACTTTCAATAATAATAATCTCATTCCTCTTTCTAGCTCTTGTTTATTTTACATGCCAGTTCATTTTTAATACCTGTTTACTTATTCATTTCCTGGAAATAATAGGAAAGCGAGCGCGTGCTGGTCTGTGCACGTGTTAGACCCGTCGGTTCGGGCGCGGGGGACCGGCCGCTTCCCGGCAGTACCCCGC